AACATGCTGGGATGTTTTCGAACTTTATAGAATATACCAGGAAGCTTCTTCTTCCTAAAGTTCCATCTCCTATCGGAGGTTGGGTATCATAACCGGTATGGTCACTTTGTTGGCTGCTGCTCTAAAAAATTGTAGTGAACTACAGTTACAGTACCAGGAAGCAGATATCGTAAAACATAGGACGTCTTAGGTGGATAAGAAATGTAATGCGGATGGAACACCCAGCTAGCAAAACGGTCCCTTATATACCTATTGGTCATAGGAAAAGAGGAAGATCCAGAACAAGGAAAACATCGATGATGTTTTCGACATGAGAAATATTGGAATACATGCTTGGCGGAGGAAGGCGAAGGATAGGAACGACTAAAGAGAAATTGGACTCATGTAGGGTTGTAAAGCCAGCATGATGATGATGAAAACAAAAAAAAACTGCAGAAAAACTTAAAACACTTGCTAAAATAAACTTTAACGCTCTTTAATTTAAAATACTATTTCGAATTAATAACAAAAAGTTTGTGTAAAACGGTAATTGTTCACAAAAATCATCTAGCCGGTTCAAACAAGAAAAAACTTTATCGCTGATAAGGCATAAAATACAATTCAAAAAAATTAAATAAATTTTTGTTTAAAACTATAAAAAGACATAAAAATCTGAGTGTCTAGTTAATTTTGCACTCCAGTGTATTAATATATGGTATTGACAATATTTTTAAAAAGCAATTTTGGAAAGAAAGGAGTTTGAGAAAGAAATATTTTTAGGATGTTTTTCAGTTTTTTATAAAATATACTAAAGTAGGAAATATATTGGGAGTAAAATGAGTGAAAAAAGAATAATAGAAGCAAAATGCATTCGAGTACATATAACAGAAAAAAATAATGTTATTAAGTGGCGCAGGGAGGAGATCATGAAGCGAATTTTCTGATTTTTAAGGTTTCGATCAATTCACTCAATGGTTTTGAATTTTCAAGCTTATTAAGCCTTAAGTGTCCATGTTTTATAGTTATACAAATGGGGTAACCATCTAACGTATTAAAAGTTTTTTTTTTAAGTAAAATGTGTTTGTCCCACATATACATACATATCATTATCATCATCATTCTCAGCGTATTCTACCGATTATGGTGCAGCCTACCTTACATAGTCGTTCTTTATGTCTACCCACGATTGTCTAATATTCGCTTTTCTGTGCCATGATGACCCTGGTTGTCCAACCCATCAAGAATAATCGACGTAAGATGACTCAACTCAGCAGATGTAGGTAGCGACCATAGCCTAGTATTATGTAAAATAAGAATAATCTTGAAATACTTCCAACACAAGAGAGCGGCGCCAACACAAACAAAAATCAAAGTCGAAGGACTAAATACGGAATCGACGGAATACTTATACAGGAAAAGAATACCAGACAAGATCGCTGGGAATAAAATATTAGAAAACGATAATATCGAGCAAAACTGGGAAAAACTCAAAAATACTATAACGCAGCAAACAGAATCACTTGGAGAGAGGAAAGTAACGAACAGTAACATATCAAAAAAGAAAACACCATATTTTAAGAGGAAGTGAAGACAAAATGTGAAGAAAAGAAGAAAGCCTTTTTACAATACAGAACACAACAGGCATACAACTACTATAAACGAATCAGAAATGATATGAATACTTTAGTTAGACAACTAAAAAAGGAACACTTACAGACGTTCTTAAAAACATATGGAGCACGATTTCTACGGAACACAAAAAGAAATATGGAGAATGATCAGAGGACAAAGAAAAGAGATGAACGAACTAATAAAAACGAAATACATTCAGAAGGAAACATGGGTAGACTACTTTCGATCCCTGTTTGCTAAATGTGATGATAATGAACCACCAACACCAGAGGTGACGACAAATGAAGAAATAAATATTGAGAGGGAAGAGGTAAAAGAAGCATTAAGGAAATTAAAAAATAGAAAATTACCAGGAGAGGACAGAATACGGAACGAACTCCTAAAGTACGGAGGACCAGATCTGACCAAACAACCATTAAAACTAATTCAAAAAATAATAGAACAAAACAGAATTCCCCAAGAATAGAGATCAAGCATCCTAATACATCTCTTCAAAAAATGAATGAAATTATAACAGCAGAAGAACAGCAAGGTTTTTTAGGTCGGGAAGATCATGCACCGATGCTATATTTATAATGAGGCAAGTTCAAGAGAAACCATTAGAATAAAACAAACCCAAACAAACAAACAAAATATCTATGTTTCGTGGACCTTACAAAGGCATTTGACTGGATCAAATTAAAAGACATTATCCACTTGCTGTATGAAAGAGAGATACCCCTATGAATAATCAAAACGAATGAAAATATTTACCAAAACAACAGAATAAAACTAAAAGTACAAGATCTAACGGACCCTATTGAAACTGGAAATGAGATAAAACAGGGGGATTCCCTGAGTCCTCTATTGTTCAACGTGATTATGGATGAAATAATAAAAAGTAAGAGCGAAAAAGATACCAAATGGGAGAAAAACAACTTAAAATAATCTGCTATGCAGACGACGCAATATTACTCGTTCAAAGTAAAAATGATTTACAACGTATGCTGCATCAATTTAATATAACTGCCAAAAAATTTAACAATGCATGCATGTTGCATTTCCCCAACAAAGACAAAATGCATGGTTACAACAGCAGCAAAAGTTACTAAGATGTAAATTGAAGCTGGAAGGACAGATAATCGAACAAGTGATAGAGTTTAAATATCTAGGCATTACATTATCTAGCTATGGAAAGCTCGAAACGGAAGTGGAAGATCAAGTGAATAAAGCAAACAGAGCAGGCTGCCTAAATGAAACCTTATGGAGAAATAAAAATATCGGGAAAGAAACGAAAGGCAGAATTTACAAAACAGTCATCAGACCAATAATGACATACTCGGCAGAAACAAGACCTGACACAGACAGGACAAACAGGATGTTAGAAACAGCAGAGATGAAAACACTTAGAAAAATTGATGGTAAGGCACTATGGGGCAGAGCTAGAAGTACAGATATACGACATAGATGCAAGCTGGAGAACATCAAAAACTGTGTAAGCAATAGAAGAGTAGAATGAAACGATCATATAAGCCGAATGCCAACAAATAGAGTAGTAAAAACGACAAGAGACAGTTCCCCAATAGGAAGACGATAAGTAGGAAGACCACAAAAAGGATGGAATGACAACTTACTGGAGGCACATTGAAAAACAGACAGAGTAATGTCTATATAAAAAGAAGAAGAACAAGACTCTGGTTTTCTGTCAAATCCATTCTATTTTTTTTTATCTCTCTTTGTTATACCTCCATTGACCTTTGAGTAACTTTAATTCTTTTATCTCTTTCTTTAGTGTCCATGTTTTGCAGCTGTATGTCATGATTAGTAGTGTACACTGATCGAATGCTTTTTTTCTGAGAGACGCTCAACCCAGTTTCATTCTTCTCTTGATTTCTGGGAGTACGGATACAAATTTGTGTATTCATTGTCCAAGATATACATACTCGTCTACTGTTTCAAATACAGTGTTTATTATTACATCTTGGTCATCCACTAGCTTGTTGTAGATGGTTTTTGTTTTTGTCAAGTTAAATTTTAGGCCAATTTGATTTCTAGCTGCATTAGGTCGCTTATAATTTTTTGTAGTTCCGCAAAATCATTAGCAATTAGAACGATGTCGTCTGCAAATCTTAGATATCTGAGGTATTCCGCTGGATCCTTACACATAATTTAACCATCAGAACGTCTACATGCTGCGTAGTATAAGGCAACAGAAGAAGTTAAAAATATATTTGAACTATAAACGTTCAAAAACTCAAGTGGATTAGTCATGTTTAATGACAAGGAACGGAATTTTTAATAAACGGAACCAACGTCGAAGAAGGGGGACAAATATGCATATCTGGGAATAATGATTAACTCCACAAATGATTACAGTCAGGAAATCAAAATCAGAATAGAAAAGGCTAGAGCAAATTAAAAAAAAAATGAGAAGAGTGCTATGTACCAGGGATTTAAAACTGGAACTAAGAGTTAGGTTGGCAAGGTGCTATGTTTTTTCGACTTTATTTTATGGAATGGAATCTTGGACCTTGAATGCAACATCAATGAAAAAACTGGAATCATTCGAGCTGTAGGTATATAGAAGAATTCTGAAACTATCGTGGACAGAACACGTCACAAACAAAGAGGCTCTGAGAAGGATGAATAAAGAAATGGAAATTTTAAATATAATTAAAATAAGAAAATTAGAATATCCCGGACATATTATACGTGGAGAGAAATACACCTTGCTCCAACTGATTATGCGGGGAAAGAACCAAGGAAAGAGAAGCATAGGGAGGTGTAGAATATCATGGCTGCGCAACCTGAGAGAGTGGTACGGATGTACATCACATGAACTTTTCAGAGCAGCCGTTTCAAAAGTTAGAATAGCTATGATGATTGCCGACCTCCGCCGCGGAGATGGCACCTGAAGAAGAAGAATGACGAGGAGAACATGAAATAATAAACCATGCTATAAAGTGGAAATTAACTGTGTCTTAGGTACATAGCATAAAACCGAAGTGCAGCTGTAAAAGTTATATCTTCAGAGGATAAACATTTTAGCATGATACAGAAAAAAACAACGACATTGCAAAGACACACAAAAAATTATATTTGTAACTAATACTAAGCTTATGATATAAAAAAACTAATATTAAACTTACTTAATTTCCTAACAATCGCTTCGTCATTGGAGGCATTCCGTCTACTTCCTCTGTAGACTTTCCCACACCTAACTTTCTACTTCACAAATAAGCACTAAGGTATAAATATAGAAAAATAAACTTATTTGGTTGACATCAGAGGGTTGTTATTTTTAATAAAACCAGAAATTTAAAATTTTAAATCAAAATTTTATTTGAACTAACATCCACAACATGGTGTGAATATAATACAATGTACAAAAGTTATATAAAACCACTATATTATATTAAGAGAGGGGTAGTATATACTGGTTTCCTAACGGGAACTTTGCTGTTGATGTCCTTTGTGGTAATATGGTAGTCAACCAAGTTGCCATTGACCAAGGTCTGGACGCTGGCTTCACCGGTAAGAGTTTTGATGTGGGATGGGCGGACGTCTTGCCTGCGAAAAAAACAGTGTATTAGTACACACGTAGAACAATAATACAAGTATGAAAGACATGAGGATACATGTTAGAATATGTAGAAAACTAAAAAATCTAATAGGTATCATAACTTACTTGGTAATTGTGAAACCGTGGCCATCATCTTCATAGTAGACGGTTCTCCAGTTGAAACCATCATCGTAGGAGTATTTACCATATACTACACCATTTTCTCTGATTTCAGCTCTCTGTTGGAAGTTTCCAGAAATGCTGTCATCGATTTGGGTAGCGAATTGGTATTTGGCGTTCTTAGCTTGTTGTCTCATTTCTTCTGCACTCATCTGGTTGTTAACAGTGTTTACTTTGGACCATTGTTCATTGTCGTCAATCACGGAAGTTGTTGGTCTGGTGATGATCACTGATGGGCGGGAAATTTCAACGGTGGGTTCATCTATATGAAAATAAAGTTTGTTAACAAAGTCAGAAAGATATGTTGCTGCATTAAGACCTATCTAATTACTAACCCTGTAGATTGTAGAAAATTTTCATAGAAGCAAGTGTGTATTGATTAAAGCAACAGCAATAGCTGCAGTGAGAATGTACTATGGCTACACAAACCCATTTTCATTGGAGAAGGGTATTAGCCAAGGAGGCACCATATCCCTAAACTATTCTCCGCTTTATTATAGAGTGCTATAAGAAGCAATAATAGGGAAAATATTGGAGTCAACATAAGTGGAGAGTTTCTGAACAATTTGAGGTTTGCAGACGAGTTAGTTCTTATTTCAGACCGGGTAGATCATGTCCGCCAACTTCTTTAATATCTTGAGAGCTCATGTACATGAGTTGGCCTTAAAATGAACTCTTCCAAAACACAGTACATGATCAACCTTGTACTGGCTAAAACATTTCAACTAATGGAACGCAAATTGAACAAGTAATGTAAAACTGTAACTATCTGGGTCACGAGATTAAATTAGGAAGAGACAATTAAACAACACAGTTAAACGGAAGAATAGGACTAACATACGGAAAACTGAGGGAAGTCTTTAGATCTTATATTTCCATGTGCTTCAAAAGGAACGTCTTTGATCAATTTATACTCCCAGTTCTAACGTATGGAGCAGAAACATCAACTCTTGCCAAAAAACTAATGATTAAGATACGAACGAAAAGTAATCGATAAGTGGCTCAGAGAGCAATGGAGAGGTTAATATTGAATATAATCCTCAGAGACAAGAGTTTCAAATCAAATAGTTACAAGAAAAACTGGTGTTATGGACGCTATTGAACGAATTACAACGCTGAAATGGAACTTGGCAGGACATGCTGCAAGATTCAGATGAAATATGGACCAAGAAAATTTAGACCTAGACGCGATGATTATTGTATTCGAGACGTCCCTCAGCAAGGTGGTCGGACGACATCAAGCGCATCCAGCATAACTGGATTTAAGGTGCTCAAGATCGGAATCACTGGAATTATTTACGGAAGGCCTATGTTTAGCAGTGGACTCAAAACAGCTAATGATGAGGATGATGATTGATGTCTTTAACTCACACACGCCATTCTTATTAATCAACTTAAGAGTAATAAATTAATGTGTAAATTAAGAACAGACTTACCATATCCATAACGATTGTTGGTGTTTGTGGTGGTTGTGCTAGTGGAAACAACTTTGTTGGACTCTCTTTGGTCACCGATGACTTGTTTTCTAAGTTCGTTGAGTACATTTTCACTTGTGCTGATTGATGGTTGACGGTTGGTCTAAAAAATAAGGCAACAAAATTAAGTCTCAGATATCAATCTCAAACAAACTTCAGAAATTTTCTAAGCGCAACAGTATAAATTCCAAAATGAATCATTGAGCATTCATTGATCCCTACCGGAAGCTATTGTGACGGTAAATAGCTTGACTATCGAAATAAAAACAAACAGCACATACTAAGCCATTGACGGAAATAATAAAAAAGTATTAGTAGTAGAATGAGGAACAAAAAACACTAAGAACATGGAGAATTTTCAATGTGGTGAGAAGGAAAGTAGCAACAATAACTGTCACGAAGTCATCATTAATGTCCAGGAAATGACATAAAAGCTGTCTAGTAGCATAGGAGGTATAGAAGTTTGCCTTTAAATACTTACTGTGACTGTTACATCATCAGTGTAGAATCTTGATGGGAAGTTCGTTGTTCCGGTGGTGATGACTGTCGTTGCAGGGTTGGTGGCTGTTGTTGAAGAGGTAGAACTTGACGTTTTAGTAGAGCTTGATGAGGTGATTTGATCGATGAGAGAGTCTGGACCAGTAGCTACAGTTGCTACAGGTTTTACCTAAAATCATAAAAATTATGTAATTCGGGGCTAAACTTGGATTTATATTTATCAAAATCTCTTTCCTATAAGACAAGATCGAGTTGTAAAGAAAATATTTAAAAAAAATGTTTAACTTACAACAACCTCGACGGGACGAGAATGTCCGTTGACAACAGATTCTTCTGTTACAGTTGTTTGTGAGTTTGTGCTTGATTTTTGAGCATTTTTCCCTTCATTGATCAATTCGTTTACAATGGAAGCCATGCCAGTTCCAGTTGTTTTTTGCTACGTTAAAAAAATATTTTAATAAATCACACTGTTTACATTCATATACGGAATACTATTGTAGCCTTCCTGGATACTTACACTATTGCCGAAGAATCCACCTAAGAATTGCACGAAAGATGGGTTGTTCATTAAGGCTGGTATATCAAGGTTCTCTGTGGTTGTTATGGTCTAAAAATAAATGAGATTTATAATCGGTGTCAATGTGTGTAAACTAATACATAGGAATATAATGACTGAAATTAAGTTTTGGAAAGCTTCTTACGTTAAAAAAAAAAGATATAAATTTATTTAAAGAAAACTTTTAAAAAACTGCCTTTACTAAACAAAATGAGAAAATCTAGTTCTGAAAAATACCTTAGTGGTCTCTGATCCTTTGTGCAACGCGTTGTACATTTTCAAAAACTGGAACAAAAATTCTCTGAGTTGTTGGGCGAACTCTGGATTTTTTAACAACACTCGGAGTTGATCAACTTCTGAAACTGGAGCTTCGTCTTTGTTGGTAGTAGTAGTCGTAGTTGTTGTTGTAGTCTTCTTGATTACTTTGCCTCCTGTAGTGGTCGTCTAGAATTCAACAAGTATTAAATTAGTAAACATTTGTTCGTTTTTAAGTACGTTTTAAGTCAGTTTGATTCTACCCTGTGATGTTATTTGCACATATTTGATGTTAGAAATTGTAATAAGGTTGTAAATCAACAACTGAGATATAGTTAACATGTATTAACTGCATTTAGAATTTACTAGGAATTAGTCCATTTGGACTATGAGGTTTTGTTAGTAAGACATGAATGAGCATTGAAGGAAATTGAAAGAGACAGAACATACAAGATCCCTGAATGTTACTAAGAAAAAACTAGTTTATTTTCAAGAAATCAATCACTGATAGGATGTTTCTTAAGAAGAGAAAATTTCTTAAAAATTACAATAATGATGGACGATTTAAATGCAAACATAGGAAAAGGCCGAGTAGACAGTATAATAGGTGATTATAGTTTAAGAACAAGAAATGCGAGAGGCGACAAATTGGCTCAATTTTGACATGAGAAGGCTCAGTTCAAGAAGAAAACCAGGCGTAGACTGTATACCTGGAGATCACCACAGGATAATAAGTTAAGACTTACTCTGGAACAGATGTTTCATCAGAACATAATCTCTTAGTCCCAAAAATGACACTGAGGATAAAAAACATAATAAAATTCCAGAGTTCTAAGGTGAATACTAGTTGCTCAAGATAAACAAAATATGTGCTGAGGCCCCAACTTGCATATATAAAAAAAATTAAAGATCAACTTTCATTTTTCAAAAAGGAACAACACTGAGAATGTGAATATTATGTGGAGCAAAATAAAAGATTTTGATATAAAGACACAGAACGAAGCTTTACAAAAGAAAGAAGAAAGCCGAAAACTTTGGATTAGTCAAGAAATACTGGAAATCATGGAACAAAGAAGAAAATATAGAAAGAAATCTCACATAAATACAGAGAAAAGCATAAGTTAATAAGGATTAAAGTAAAAGAGGCTAAGAAGAAGTGGACGATGAAAACATGCATTGAAATAGAGGAATTGCAGAAAAAACATGATCATTATAATTTACATACAAAATCAGAGAATTATATGGAAAATAACGAACAAACACCCTTAACTGGTTTATTGGCAAAAACAGTAAACTTATTAATAATCCAATGGAAATAAAACAAGTATGGACTAAATATATTGAAAATCTTTTTATGAGAAAAAGATCGGAAGCTCCAATAATATTAAAATCTGGTATAAACATGCCATAAACAATTAAAAAAAAAGTCCAACAAGCTATAAACAATTCAAAATCTGGTAGAGCCCTGGGCCCTGATAAAGTTCCCATGGAGCTGATTACACTTATACATGAAGACAATTTAAGTGTAATAACTATCCACTTTAACAACATTACAATTCTGGTGAGATGCCTACAGAATGGCTACTATCTACCTTTGTTCCGCTACCAAAAACCAAGAATCCAAACACTGTAATGACTGTAGATTAATCAGCAGCTTGTCTCAACTATTGAAAACATGTTTAAAGGTTATAAATACAATAATATGCAGAAAGTGTAAAGCGGATATGAGTAATATACATTTTGGCTTTCATAATTGCTTCGGAACAGTAGAAGCTCTGTATGGTTTCACAACTCTTGCTTAAAAATGTCAAAAACAACAAAAATATATTTTCGTCGTATTTATAGACTATGAGAAAGCTTTTGACAAGATTAAACATAACATTGTCATGGAATTTCTAAAGCGAAAAAGACCCGACAAAAATGATATTAACATAGTGAGAATTCTCTATTGGAACCGACAGGCGGTGGTGACATTAGATGTAAATAGCACGGATGCGCAACAGATAAGTAAAGGTGTGAGACAAAGCTGTTTACTTTCGCCATATTTAATTTCGCCGAAAGTTGTTTACACAAGTACTTGAAAACTATACAGAAGGGATCAAGATAAATAGTGAAAATGTAAATAACATTCGTTATGCCGACGATACAGTTATTATCGCTAAAAGTGAGAAAGACCTGCAGACGCTATTAAATACAATTTGTAATATTAGGAAACAGTTTGGTTTAACAATAAACATAAAGAAAACAAAAACTTTGGTTATCGGTAAGAGGGGCCAAGTCATAACAAGGATCCAGATAAAAATGAAGAACATGAACAAGTGGACAAAATGAAGTACTTAGAAGTCTGGATCTCTGAATTTGGAAGGAAATTTCTAAGTAAACAAAGTCTCAATCTGCAAATCCGATATCGGAAGCTATATTTATGGTACCCTACCTTGGAATGTTAATGTTGACTTGATGAGAAAGCTGAAAGATTTTGAGTTGTGAATTTTTAGAAGAGTTTTGAAAATACCATGGGCCGATCATATTATAAACGAAATGGTGTTGCACAGAATGAGAAGAGGCAGAGATCTCTTGACCATCAATAAAAGAAGAAAGACAGCATATTTGGGGTACATACTTAGAAATGGGACGTACGAGTTGTTGCAGCTGATTATGAAGGGTAAAATCGAAGGAAAAAGGGGCTCTGGTAGACGACAAATATCCTGGCTGAAAAACATTCGCGACTGGATCGGGTTAAACACACAGAAACACACTTTTAAGAAAAACAAAATTTGCAATGGTTATAGCCAACCTTCAATAGTGGAGTCGACACTAGGCGAAGAAGAAGAAAATTTTTAAACTGATGTTTTTTCTATCTATGACTGGACCGGAAGATGGCGAAAAAAATAATAATAGGGAACAAAACACAAGCAAAAAATTTGTTAAAAAAATTGTTAAGAAAACAGTTACAGAAAAATATTTAAAAAATTGTCTTGTAAGTGTAAAAGAAATTGAAAGTATTTTTTATCTATATCAGAAAGTGGAGCAAAAAACTTACCGTTGGCACTGGAGAAGACAAAGAATCTAACAAATCTTGCATCTTTTTGTTTCCATCGACCACTGTGGTGACGACTGTATCAGGGCTTCCTGGTGGTGCCGAAAAAACGGCAACGCACTGGATAACCAGAATGATGGCCACTGCTTTACTGAACATGTTGAATACTGTAGAAAGCACTGAAGAGTGAATACTAATATTTGGCTCTCGTGGGTTTTTATATTATCCAAAAGCTATAGTGCTAATGAGTGTTTGATGGTTTTCGAAAGTTAGATCGTTTGGAATGTAAATCTATCGCTAACTACTAAATGATGCAATATTTTGTTTTCCTAAGTGTAAACTTTTTTCCTTAAGAAATACAACATTTTTGTTGTAGTTTACAAAAATTGTTTTGTACATACCAAACGATGTTTTTTCAAAAATCTCGCTAGAGGAAAACAAAAAATATAAAATAAACTCTTCTTTACTTATATCTCGTCGTCTCTTAGAAGAATCTTATTTGTATCATCTGTTGTGACAATTTGTACATGTTATTCTATATACACTGCAGTGCAAAATTAACCGGATACCCAAACTTTTTTTTTTTAAACTGGCGTGGCGGTTATGATATTTAAGATATTTCTAATTGAGTATTTTATAATAAATAAAATTTATTAGTAAAATTTATTATAAACCAAGAAAGAAAAATGAATAAGAAATTTGAAAATCTTCAAAGAAACAAAATTTTTATAATACATATGATATATTATGATACATAATATACATAATATATATAATATACCCCCAACGAGATGGACAGATGACATAAAAAGAGTGACTACAAATTGGATTCAGATGGCGCAAAATCGGACTAAGTGGAAAAGCATGCGGGAGGCCTATGTTAAGCAGTGGACGTTAGAGGCTAGTTGATGATGATGATGATATAATATACATAGAACGATTTATGAAGTGGAATTGAAACGTCAATAAACGTACTTTAACCTTTAATTGTGGCTGATTCCCATTTAAATAGTAATTAGTTTAAAATGCCACAAGAAAATAGTGTCAGAACAATATGAATAATGATATTTAGTAGGGTGTATTCTAATCTTTGTAAATCTAATTGTGCGGATAATTTTGCACTCCAGTCTATTAATGCATGGTATTGTGGATATTTTTTAAAAGAAATTTCGGAAAGAAATTCGGAAAGAACGAAGTTTTGGAAAGAAATATTATTACGTTGTTTTTCAGTTCCAAAAAAAAATGGACTTAGATCATTGCCTAGTGATCTCAACATTGAGAGTTAGACACTAGTAAAAAAAAATAAAACGGATAGAAAAATAGAATGTGCAAAAGCTGAGAGATGCAACAATTGCAGAACGGTACTCGAAAAACATCACCAACAGGCTAAGTAATCAAAATGTAAATGAAGAAGGCCAGACAGATATAGACTCCTACTGGACCAGAATAAAGGAAGATATTGAAGCATCAGCGAAAGATGAAATAGGAACAGAAAATTGTGCCCGTAAAATCATTGGTTTGACGATGAATTCAAGAATGCAGCAAAAGAAAAAATGAGGCCTACAGAAAGATGCCTATCCGACAAACTAGAACAACTGTAGATAATTACCAGACAAACGGAAGAAAAGAAAAGACGACACACAAAAAAAAAATTCAACTACTTAAATAAGGAACTTAAATTTATAGAAAACCTCAACAGAAAAGAGTTCAAGGCAACCACAAGTCAATGCAGAATCAGAATCGCGACCTAATAACAGCAAGGAAAGATGTATTAAATAGATGCGTGGAATAATTTAACCAGGCACTCAATATAGAGTAATAATTAGAAAACCTGGAAGACGAAAGAGATAAGGTAAGCAGAACAGACGACAGGGAAGCGGAACCACAAACGATTCTTAAACTATATAAATAAGGTGGCCACGATACCATAATGGCATTACAGCACCTCGTAAAAGAAATATGGACACATAAATCCCCCCACCCAATAATTGGAATGCATACTATACACTTGAATTTACACTATACACAAAAAAGTATATATCTTTGAATGCTGTAACCACAGAGGAATTGCGGTTCTAAATGCAGCATATAAAATATTTTCCACAGTACTATGGCACCATATGCAAAACGGATGATAGGAAAATACCAGGCTGTTTTCAGAGGTAAATCGATAATTCATCAGATTGCAACACTGAGACAAATTTTAGAAAAAACACTGGAATATGGCGTAGATACTAATCACATATTTATAGACTACAAAGCAACCTACGACTCTCTGCATAGAAGAGAAATGTTCAAAGCAATGAAGGAGCTAGGAATACAAAATCAGTTGGTAAATTTAACAAAACTAACTCTTGAAAAAGGGGAATGTAGAGTACGAATGGTACGATTACGATGGGAATACGATTTGTTAATAAAGGAAATAGATTTCCTTTTTGTAACATTTTAAGACAAAAGTAATGCATCAAGTAAGTTGTGCCGAGAGTAAGTTCAATCAACGAAGAATAAAAGTGTACCCAGAAACTGTCCGCATGTCACTAAAAAAGCAAGGCTACATATCAAGGAATCCAAAAAAAATCCATACAATGACACCTCTGATTAAAGAATAGATTTTTGTCGTTTTCGAGAAGATAATAATAAAATCTTTATATCTGATGAAAGTTGTTTCCAGCTTGGTGCAAATCATCTAAAAGTCCTATTAAGAGAAAATGTTACCGTTCAAATTTCCAAATTTCCCACTAAAATAATGGTTTGGGGAGCAATATCTCAGTGTGATGCTACTACACCTCTCTGTATAGTTAATGGTACTGTAGATAGTGCGAAATATTGTGACATGCTAAATGGTTTTCTTCTTGAAACGACTCATGTTTTATATCCAGAAGGGTGGCGTTTTCAGCAAGGTAATGCAAGATGCCATACTTCTGCTTCTACTCAATCGTCATATGTTTTTTGGAGCACTGGCTAAGTGAAGAAAATTTAAAATTAATTAACATCTCCGGATTCTCATTAGCTAATTTCTTTTGTAGGGTAAAAAAGAAACAAGGCGGAGTTGCAATTTATGTAAAAGAAAATCTTATGTATTCTTCTCTTAATTTAAATGAATATAATGTAGAGCAAAGTTCTGAGTTTTATGCAATTTATGTACCTTCAATAAAAACCAATATTTTAACTGTATACAGATCGGGTAAGGGTGACTTTGACTTATTTTTGGTGAATTTTGAAAATGTCATAACATCCTCGCTTAGTAAAGCTGACAAACTAATCATACTTGGAGATTTTAATATAAATTTTAAAATTGAATCTGACTATTTTTTTGATATTCAAAATCTATTAACATCTTTTGGTCTAAAAATAACTATAAACGGTTATACTAGAATCACATCCCAGTCCAGAAGTTGCATTGACAACATTTTGACAAATTGTTCTGAAAATATCTATAGAGTGGGCGTATTTGAACCTTGTTTTTCTGACCATCGAGCTCAATTTTTATTTATTGACTCAGAGCATAAAGTTATTGATACTGATCAAACATTCCAACGGTTTATTACTTCTTCTGGTTTACAGAAGCTTAAACGTGCGCTAGCTATTACAAACATGGACTTTTTCTTCGATATTAATAATGATCCTGATTTTTTGACAGTCTTTCTTACCGAAACTTATAACAATTTAATATTACAGTATTTTCCACTAAAAAAGTACAACAAATGACTGAAAAAACACCTGTGCAATGGTTTAATAATGAATTAAGGTCTAACAGATCTAATATTTCTCTTATCAAACACATTGCAGAGGCCACTAAGGATCCCGATTTGTTCAAAGTATATAAACAACAAAAAGTTGAATATAATCGGCAATTAAAAATTGCTAAAAAGTCAGCTTACTGTAATTTTATTACTAATTCCAATAATAAACCTAGAGACTGCTGGAAAATAGTAAATTTCGAAAGAAACTACACTAAATCCAGTTCGGTACAACCTGATCTACCTCCAGACGAAATGAATCAATTTTTTAGTACAATTGTAGAGAATATAATTACATCTCTTCCCACTATTAACGTCGATGTCCTCGTCAATTATAGAAATTATCCTTCTCCGTGCAAGTAATTTTTTTTTCGGCCCGTTCTGGAAGAAGAGGTCTCTCAAATAATAAAGTCGCTTAGTAATTCTAATTGTAGGGACGTTCACGAGATTAATAGCAAAATTTTAAAAGAAACTTACCAAATAGTTTGAACACCTTTTACTCATCTTATTAATTTAATTCTATCCACCGGAGTATTTCCAGAAGTACTAAAATACTCAAAAGTACTACCAATCTACAAAAAAGGTGATTCCTCAAAAACTGACAATTACAGACCCATAAGCATTGTTTCTACTTTTGGGAAAGTGATTGAAAAGGTTATCAACCAACAATTTTATTCCTATTTTGAGTCAAATAATTACTTTAGCAACTCACAATATGGATTTAGAAGTGCTCGTTCTACTACGAACGCGGTATTTAATGTTGTGAGCGAGGTGATTGAGGGGCTTGAACGCGGCAATCGCGTAGCAATTTCTCTTTGTGACTTATCAAAGGCTTTTGACTGCGTTTCACACGACATTTTGCTCCACAAATTAAATTACTATGGAATCAGAGGTATCCCTCTTAAGCTTATAACTTCTTATCTATGTGGCAGACACCAGGCGGTAGTGTCTAAAGGTCATCTCTCTGATTTTCTATACGTAAAACATGGAGTCCCACAAGGTTCGGTCTTAGGACCTCTTTTGTTTATTATTTATGTCAACGATCTGCCTAAATTCATATCTCTGTACAAAACCATACAATTCGCAGATGATACGACATACGTTATATCAGGAAAAAATAATGATGATTTAAAAATGTCTCATGATGAAGTTTCTACTAAATCTAGCTCATGGTTTGCTGCAAACAAACTAAAACTTAACTCTGATAAAACGCACAATATGGTTATATCTGCAAGTAATTTACACAATGATCTAGTTAACAAAGAGCCTGTTAAACTATTGGGAATAACCATAGATAATCGACTCAACTGGTCTGCTCATATCTCACACCTTAAGAAACAGCTGTCAAGTTCATTATTTGTTATTCGCCAACTAGCAAGGGTTGTCAACTTTGAAACATTAAAAATGACATATTTTTCT